CAAGACACTTCCTACATTCGAACTCTTGTAGTATCCGCAAATGCACTCGAAGGCAAGTTATTTCAAAGCACTTCGAACCAATGTGAAGACGATTGGAAACGTTGGATATGTGTTTGGTGATGGCAATACCTTGGTGGAGACGTTAAGAATATGCACACCTTGCGTAGATAAGAAATGGAAGAACGCGCGGACGTAGAGTCGAGCTAGCCCGGTGCTGAAATGCAGCCACAGAAGCCGAAGTCTATAACACTTCTCAATTTTCCACTGCAACCATGGACCACACGTTTCCACGAGACGATGTTGTGACCGAGTTGAGCTCCATGTACTCTAGTTATTCCCCTGTGTACCCCCCCGTGCCTTCCGTTCACGATTTCAATGGCTGCATGGAGTTCTCACCCGGTTCACCCGAATCCCCGCGCAAATCAGGTGCGATGTAACTTCAAGCAACACTCGAGGAAATCGAAGGCGAGCTCGAGGACATTTTCGACAACTTTTCGAAGATGCTTGAGGGTCGTGCGCTCGATGTCTCAGGCGGGTTTTTGCGTCACTACGAAGCGTGGTGTGTAGGTCTGTTCAACACGGCACACCTGCTGATCGCTTCAAGCAACATTGACTTGTACTTCCAGTGTTAGGATCGCTCTGTGGAAGTGATGGGGCGGCTCGTACGTGCGCAGGGGACCCATTTGGCAGCTCAATACCAATCGTACCGATAGTAGGTCTTGTAAGGAAACATGAAAATCACCCGTTTGGCTTCCACTTGTCTTTCGTTTCCGTGAATGGGCCGGTTTTTACTTCTTCGCAGGCGTATCGGCCGAGCAAACTTCAAATGCATTGGATACTCGTAGGGGTTTTTCATTCTGGCAGTCATTTTCCAATTGCGACTTTCATGCAGACTGGACGCGCCAAACACAAAATTCACATGTAAAGGCGATGATGATGACGATGAGACTCCATCTCCATCTACCACCCCTTCCAGTGGTCAAGGGTGCGGTCGATCAATAGTGCCTTCATCCCGAGATGGACGTGGTCGTGGTTGTGGCGCTCGAGCTGGTAGGGCTAGCTTGATGTACCCTTCCAACCATCTGCATGCTGCAGGCCATTCATCATCGGTATCCTCTGGTCCACCAATCAACATCCGTCGCACAAGTCCCACAACCACAACTGGCATGGACGGTTTGGGTTCTAACACCCCAAGAGCGTTGTTTCCATCGGCGGTGCCACCCACTCCGACAGCCGCGCCACACACCCCAAACCCGCCTATTCCTGCCAACCATGTCTTGCCGCAACTGTTGACATTCCTTCCCCATTCCGGGCCTATTAAGCTCTTCGAAAGTGGCATTGTTAAAATCATTGAAGGCGACCTTGATGCTTTGTCCGACCGCTGATGTGTCGGCGAAATACAAAGGTAAAACCCTATGATTCTATATTTCACTCTAAAATTATAAAATTGCACAAGTACTCATTTCAAGAGGTTTACTGAATTAGGAAACACAAATCGAAAGCGTGTTCTCACGGATAAAGAAATTGAGCATGCGGTCAAGTTGGTTCCGCTACACGCACGCCAGACCATGCGAACTTTGGCAGCGCAGTCCAGCGTCAAGAAGACGACCATCATCCGCCACATGCAACGAGCCAAGACGTTGATGAGCAAGACAAGCCACTCCAAGCCGTACCTGACCGACGCCAATGCACTTGGACGGGTGCAGCATGCTCTGTCCTTCATCAAGCCGACGTCAAAAGGAACCATTTTTGACAGCATGCACGCACATGTGCATGTTGACGAGATATGGTTCTTTTTGACAACTGTCAAGAAGCGTTATTATGCCTACGAAGACGAAGACCTGCCGACGCGCCAGTTGAAGTCCAAAAGATACATCACGAAAGTGATGTTTCTTGCCGCCGTTGCAAGACCAAGATACGACTACCACAACAAATGCATCTTTGACGGGAAGATCGGAGTGTGGCCGTTTGTCGAGAATGTGCTGGCCAAGCGAAACAGTCGTAATCGGCCAAAAGGTACTCCACTTTTGGTACCTCAAACGGTAACTGCCGAAGTTTACCTCAAGATGATCTCGAAATCGTCGTGCCGGCGATTCAGGCAAAAATGCCTCGACAAGATCAGAGTAAAATAATATATTTGCAGCAGGATAACGCAAGTCCACACAATAGTGTGACTACGCGAATGCTGCTTGACTCTGGTGTTTGCGGCATTGAAGCTGCAAATCAACCGCCGAATAGTCCCGATTTGAATGTCCTCGACTTTGGATATTTCAATTCAATTCAAAGTCTACAAAGCCAAAAGTGTACTAGAACCATAGATGAACTAATCGGATCAGTAGAGAGCTCATTTGATGAATTACCGTGTGACATTGTCGAAAACTTTCATCACTTTGCAAAAGGTAATGGAATCGACTCTTAAAACTTTGGGTAGAAATGATTACAAGCTTCCTCATATGAGGAAAGATGCTACCATCAAGGACTTTACATTGTTTAATGTCCGTTGCGATCGTGATGTCCATGAAAAACCTCTTGCTCACCTGAGCAGACTATGAATTCCCAAAGACGAGTAGTCATACGTAGTCATCGTAATATAATAAAAAGTTCATTAAATTTTGGTGATCAAATATGTGTTTTGATAGGTACATACAAACATTAAGATGTTTTTTCTTTCGCCCAATACTTTAATCAAGATAAAAAGTCGATGCATTTGATAGGACCAGAGTACAGTGAACCGGGGAGAAACTCGCCCGAGTTAGCAACCAAATTTGCATGCAAACTCAACGCGCAATAATAAAATTTACCCAACCCTAGGCACATTTGATTGGCTATAAATATTGTAACGTGACAAGCACAAAATGTCGCAATATTGCGACTGCCCACGCCAGCGTCATCGAATCGCATGAGCAATTGTCGCTTGGTGGCCAACGGGTAGGAGATTTGAGGACGTCGAGGTGGCATGACGATCGTGTGGACGTTTTTGAAGTGCGGACAGTTTTGAATTTCATGTTTGAATAGACTAATCGAAAGGCGTTAATTATCGATGCTACTTGATTGGTTTAAATAATCTTTGTATATGATTTTAACGTTACAAGACATATCCTTGCCAATAAAAATATAGTATCAGAACTTAGAGGTGGGCGTGTTTTTTAGGGGGGTCGAGTTTCTCCCCGGTACTCTGTAGTACTATTTTTCCGAGGCCTGGTGTTAATAATAACATTCTCATCTGTGACAAAGCGCGTAAACGACTTGATCAGTATGGCCTTCGCCGTGGTCGTGTTGGCAGACATAAGGTGTTGGATCCCCATGCAGAATGACTATGCCAAAGTGTTTGTCCTAGAACACAGTATTAAGGATGCGGGAAAATATGTGTTAATGCCAACGTTTGTATTGAACATATTCATATTTCGTGATCCACTCGGACAAAATCTGCCTAGCAATTATTTATACCTCGATTGGTTAAAATGATTCGAAAAACGATAAAACGCAAGTATAATTGGCTGTTAAATTTGTCCCCGGATCGCATTGGTTAAAATGCCGGATACAATGCACTAATAACGTTAATAGTAGGTCTGCTACTATTAATGTTATTAGTGCATTAGTTTTCATACAGTATGTATTCTACGATGCACTTCGTGAAGTAATGTACTTGAAATATACGTTTTCAAGGGTTTGGAGGAACAAAAAGGTCCACATTCCACAGGACCAAATAAATTCCCAAGGCCGTCAAGATGGGTGAAATCGCCGCAGCCAACGAAGGAATTCCGCCATTGGGACTGAAGGCACGCCTATTCCTGCTTATCATCGACCTTGTGTGCGCCATGGCCTTGTGGTATGCAGCGACCGGTCCATATCCAGTGTGGACTTGCCTTGTTTGTGCGTCGTCAGGGTGGGGACTTACAGTTGTCCTCTCGTACCAGTGGCCATGGGAGCGTTATTTCTAAAGCAGCGATACCGTAATGTAGATTGAAGGACATTTCATAGCACATCTCTCCCTGTGCGTGGGGTTCTTTCTTTGTTCGTAGCCTGCGCTACTGTCTACGTGTTTTCCGTCGTTGATCGCCTTGTCCACGTCGTTGGAATTGACATTGACAAATAGTCTGTGCCTGGTGCCCTCACGGGCACTCAACGGCCCCATGGACTTCTGCACAGTCAGCAACGACATGGTGCCCAACGACACTCATGAATTGCATGATCAAACACGGGCGAATACTGTCGTCGTGTCAAGGATTGGAGCACCGCGAATACAACGACACCATTCAAGCCATCGAAGCCTCGGGAGCGATGCTTAAAATCAAGTCAGTTCACAATGAGTTTTCTATAACCTTATAGGTGGACGAACATGTGTGGTACAGTAGTCAAAGAGAGGTAGGATATATGTAGTACTGCGAAGTATATATGACACTTGTGAAATTGAACCAAAGCTATATACACTTGACCTCATCTCTTAGTGGTGGCCCACGAAACTAATACGAAACGTTCAGAAAGGGCTACCGGTAGGTAAATTGATGCACATCGTTTTGCTCAATTCAACCAATCAGTGGTTGCATAGGGCAATAATGTGATGTTCTCGAGGCCAAGGTCGATCGATGTACCAACCAGTATACTAGTATATGAAACGTGGAGTTCTCCTTGCCAAATGAGTTCTTTAGTCGTTCAATGGATAAAGGTAATGTTGAGGGCAACTTGCGCAAGACGACTTGAAGGATTGAGCAAACCAGCTCACTCGGCGATTCGGCCGGAGTAACTGGCGCGGCACTGGTATCAGTGGGTGTTGGTTCATCGTTCAGGTCCGCAGTCTCTCACCGGTAGGCGACGACTGTATCATGGTGTTCATATTCGCATCCTTCGTCAATATCTTGAGCGATGAACGATCTCGTGATCATATAGAGCCGCCAACACTTCTCCAAACGCCGTTTGTCGTTCGTGGAATTGGTTCACATTGGCAAGAACACTCGTCAAGCATATCAGAGTCTCGGTAGTATGCTACCAATCAAAGTCCCCGTCATCCAAAGGAAATATGCCATTGGGGGATCGATACCGTCCAGCCGAGCTCGTGGCAGCTAAATCATGAACCTGTGCTGCATCCGCCGACGCCATCGCAACCACCGCCATTATTATTAGAAAACAAGAGATAAAAAGCTCCTTGAAATTCCCGAGCTCCGTTGCCTGTCATTGTCGATCTGCCAACGGAAAACGTAGCGACGATGGCAGCAGAAGTACAAGCAGCAAGATGCTACGTTCCATGATGACATTCTGGCCGACTTGCTATGCATGGAACATCCACCAACCATGCTCCAACTTCCGACAATTGAACCGCCTGTTATTATGACCTTAGTTCCGCATGTATGGAGAATGTCGGTTGCATTCACTTCTCGTTCGATTCCTGCGTTCGGGGGGGGTTGAATGGAACTGCCAACACGGAGGGTAGGTAGCCTTGGCGTGCTTCGTTCGCTGCCCCTGTCGGTGCTGGATTCCATCAGTGACGTTTGGAAATCGCTGCCGCCACGGGTTAACTTCATGTCCTTGCCGCGCTGTCGCAACTACCGTAATTAGTCGCGAATTCGTCAAGCACATCATGGTGTTCGTTCTTTGAGTCCACAATGTCAATAAGAAACGACTCCGGATATTTACCGGTGGGTGGCGTTTCCGAAGTTACGTCTCGCATGCCCATTGGGCAGCCGTTACAAGGTGAAACACTTGCCGACTACTCCTTGACTGCGAAGCAATGACAGTGGAAAAGGCGGCCATAGTTGCGCCTGTTCTAGACACGATGGCATCACCCAAGCCAAGGCGAAGCGCAGCAAAGAACCCCAACAACGTACGTGCAGCTTGCATGTGTCGTGAAAGCAGCATTGCATTACTTGTCATTGATAGTATCCCGCCAAAACACTGGGCATATTCACACTACAGAACCGGTTTCGACGAGTATGTATGCTGGTCATCGACAGTCAAGGCTTTGGCCTGCTCATTATGCTTACGGTCTTGATCAACACATTCGCCATGAGTTTTGCAAACTACAACGACCCCGCTGCAGGCACTTCAGATGCAGACACGGACGCGTACACCATTGATATGGTACGTACGACCTTTGGCCATGCACAGTGACATCATTTGGGTTCTCACTCCACGTGTCGAATTTGCCAGATTGAAAGTGCCACGCTGGTGGTGTTTATTGTTGAAGTATGCATGAGAGTCGTGGCGCAAGGCATCACCGGCCGCAATTCGTACTTTCAAGACAACTGGAACATCTTGGACTTTATCGTGATATTATCAGGGTATGGATTGTGATCGTCGTCGTAAAAGCCAACACATTGATCGTTCTGTAGTATTGTGATCTGGGGCTACCACGAAACGTCAAGCTTTTCGGGGATCCGATGTCTACGTATTTTGCGGCCCCTTCGTACGCTGCGGTCGTTCCCAGGTACTGTTTCAATACACTGTGCTATGTGACAACATGCCCACTAGGACTGCGCACTCTGGTCAACTCGCTCTTGTCAGCACTGCCAGCTCTCGCCAACGTGGCCATTCTGTTGTGCTTTTGCTACACTGTGTTTGCTATCCTTGGGATGGGCATATGGAGTGGCTTGTTGCACGGACGCTGCCGACTCACCGAGTTCCCCGTGCGGCTCAATTTCTCGGCTGCCGATGCCCCATGGAACCACGCGTACCCCGACGACAATTGGGTTCAAACGGTACTCACCAATCCGGAACGGTTCAAGTGCCACGACTCGTGGGACGTGGATAGTGTCTGGTCAAGTCCTCAGAGTTGCTTCTGGCCGCTTGACCCGACAGACACCGTCGGGCAGCTTTGCGGCGCGCGTTCGTGCCCAATTGGCACCACATGCGGCTCCAACTACGACCGCAAGGGCAACCCCCGGTTCCAGGACATCACTGTGAACGGCAAAGTGGTGTTTTCGATCACGACCGAGGCGGATTTCACGGCCAATTTGAACTTTGGCCTCACGTCGTTCGACGATGTCGGCAGCAGCCTCGTGATTGTGCTGCAAACGGTCACTGCGTCGGGGTGGATGGCACTGGCGGGCAATGTATGATGTGTACCGTGAAAACAATTCCATTCTTATTCGTTCATTAGACCCAAGACAGCTTTTCGTGGTTTGGGGCGGGGGTGTACTTCCACCTTGTCCTGTTCATTGGCATGTGCTTTCTCCTGCAGATCAACATGGCCATCATGGTGTCAGCTTTCGAAGTGACCAAAGTGACGACCGCCGCCGATATAACCCAGCCCCCCCTCGAGTACGCTATAGATTGTTATTATTGTTGCTTTTCATGGTTGGCATCCAGGGCCTCGTTTTCGACAAAGCGACGAATGATCTCGACACTCCCACTGGGCTTGCGGTACGATGTTTAACCTAGCCAATCCCTTATCAACCCATGGCATTTAGCATCAAGGCCACACAATTCCAAGCCGACCTGTGCAACTCGCCCGTGGGACAAGCGTACCACGCGTTCCGACGGCGGCTGCTCAAGATCCTCTCGACCAAGGGATTCCATCGCGTGAGCTTTTGCTTCACGCTGGTCAATATCGGCACGTTGGCCCTGCACCAGCACCCCATGCCGCCGGGGTTGAGTGGCGCGTACCTTGAAATCATTCAGTTTGTGTGCCTTGTGTACTTTGTCGCGGAGCTCGTCATGCAAATGTCTGCGCACGGCCCTCGCAAATTCCTTCAGTACGCAATTCTCCATTATACGAGGGTGATGCGTCTGTGATCGACGATCGTTTGTGTGCAGGTCGGGGCTGAACGTGTTTGACTTTGTGTCGATTGTGATTGGCGTCGTGGACATTGTGAGCAACCCGCCAGCGTTCATTGACGGCACCGTGGCCAACAGCAACCCGTTCATTGCATTGCGGGCGTTGCGTGCCGTGAAACTGGCGCAGTCGTGGCGGCCGCTGAAGCGACTCATGCTGGCCATTGGTCGCACCATGAGCGAGTTTCTCAACTTTTTGTTCTTTCTCGTGGTGTTTGTGTACATTTTCGCGCTGCTTGGCATGGAGGTACTTACTGTACTTGGTCCCAACTGGACGAGAATGTTGCCTTTACGATTGTTTGCCATGGTAGCTCTTTGCCAACAAGTTCTATTTTGACAGCGACAACAGGCCGATGGCCAACAACGGGACGCTGTCGCCGATCTTCCGGCACCGGTCGCATTTCGACACGATCGACGCGGCGCTGTTCACGGTGTTCCAAATTATCACGTACGACAACTGGCCGAGCGTCATGTACGACGGGTGGCTCGTCGTGGGGGTGGCCTCCCCCGTGTACTTCATCAGTATCATCGTGCTGGGAGTTTGGATTGTCATGAACATGTTCTCGGCCATCACGGTCAACTCGGTCATGGACGCGGTCGAGTCGGACCCGGCCACCGAGATGAAGCGGTCGTTGTCCAAAATGCGCTACTTGGAGCGCAGCGTGAGTCGCCTCGAGATCGGCGTCGCGTCCAAGAAGATACTCCCGGCCAAGCTCAAGGACGACTACGCCATGCGCACGCAGCACCCGATCCGGTTCGCGTGCCTCCAACTCACGAAAAGCAAGGCGTGGACGACGTTTGTCATCTTTGTGATCGCGACCGCGTCCATTCTCACGGCATTTGAAACCCCGTTGATGGACCTCCACGTGGGCATTGGCCAGCTCATGGACGACTTCAATCGCATGTTTGCCGTGCTGTTTTCGATCGAAATGGCCGTGGAGTTGACCGCGAACGGCCTCGTCAAGTACGTCAAGGACCCCTGGAAGGTACGACACAACCCATTGCGACAGGATTTCGACTAACGGGGTAGATTTTGGACGCCTTGATCACGGGGGTGTCGCTCATGTCGTGGACTGGGGGCCCCCAAGGCCAAGGCCCTGGGGGGTTAAACTTTGGCGTGATTCGGTCCTTCCGATGCCTTCGCGCGTTGCGACCGCTGCGCGTAATCAACCAGCTCCCGCAGCTCAAAGTCGTCGTGAACACGCTCTTCCGTTGCGTACCGGACATCGGCAAAGCGCTGCTGTTTCTGCTGTTCAGTTTGTTCATGTTTGGCATCGTCAGCGTCTTGTTCTACCAAGGCGGGCTCAGCTCGTGCTCTATCAGCCCGTACAAGTACCTTGAAAACCCCACCTATTCGCCGCTGCCGCCGTGGTTTCCGCCGACGTACGCTGGGAACTTCTCCATGGCCGACCTCGAGCAATGGGACGTGATGACCTTCCCCAAGCCTTGGAAGGACATGGCCGACGCCACCAGAGACGTGATGCAGACTGTGTGGACATCCTCGTGTCCGTTTTCGGCGGCGGAGGCGGCAGACGCGACCTTTCAGCCCACGTCCAAGCAAATGTGTTTGTGCTTTTCGCTCCAGTGGGAGCGCGTGGTGCCCCAGAGCTTTGATAACGTCATCGTTGCTATGTCGTCGTTGTACGAGCTCACGACCATGGAAGGGTGGGCGAACGTTGCGTTCGCCGCCGCCGACTGCACCGGCATCGACAGCCAGCCACTGCCCAACTATTCGCCCGTGATGCTCGTGTTTTGGGTCGCGTTTATGGTGTTCTGCGCATTCTTCATGACGAATCTGTTCCTGGGCATTCTCTGCGACAGCTTCATCCGGGAAAAGTACGGCGGGTTCCTCACCGACGACCAGATCAAGTGGGTCAACTTCCAGCGTAAACTCATCGCGATCGAGCCGCTCGAAAAGATCCCGCGGCCCACGGCACCGCTGCGCCAGTGGGCGTTCGACCTCGTGCACTGCGAGCCGTTCGACATTGGCATCACCGTGGCTATTCTGCTCAATATGGTGGCGCTGGCGATTTCGTACTTTGGCCAACACCCGACGATGGACCTCGCGCTCAACGCTATCAACTATGCGTTTTCGATGGTGTTTCTCTTCGAAGCGGCGCTCAAGCTGTTCGCCGTGGGCCCGCGGCAGTACTTTAGCCGCGGGTGGGACCGATTCGACTTTTTCATCCTCATGATCACGATCGTGTCGACGGTGCTGCCGTTTGTCGGGTCGGACAAACTCAACCTCGGCGGTGGCTCCATGGTTGTACGCGTATTTCGCGTCGGTCGCGCGCTGCGCCTGATCAACAAGGCCAAGTTGATGCGCAGTCTCTTTGACACGATCATCATCGCGCTGCCGGCCGTGGGGAACGTCACGGGCTTGCTCATGCTCATGTACTACATCTTCGCGGCGGTGGGGGTCCAGCTGTTTGCCAAAGTCGGGTACGGACCGAACCTGCTCAACCGCCACCAGAACTTTCGCACGTTTTGGCTCGCGCTGCAGACCCTCATCGGGTTCTCCACGGGAGAGAACTGGGACAACTTTATGTGGGAATTGTATTCCGTTACCCCAGAGTCCAATCCATCTTGCGTCGATCCTGCGTTCAACAGCTCCATGTGCGGGTTCAACGACGACCTCGAACTGTGCGAGCCACTGGATGGCTGTGGTGCGACGACGACTGCTGTCCACTCGGTTCAGTGTGCTGATTGTTTGCGAATAGGATCGTGGATGATATTGCCCTTTATGTACCTGTTTGAGCTCGTCGTGGGTTACATTGGGTTGAACCTCTTCTCAGGTTGAAAACCGATGAATGGCATGTTGATATTCAACGTTCTCTCAAACTGCCACGTCACAATAGGCATTTTGGTCGACGCGGTGGCCGACGCAGACACGGCCACGTCGGCGGTGGTGATGGATCTGCAAGATTTTGCCTTATTGTGGTCTAATTATGACCCGAATGCGTCGTGCCGCATCGAATTGGACCAGCTTACGCTCATTCTCAAGCAAATGCCACCCCCTTTGGGGTATAAAGGTCTTCCCGGATACTCGTTTCACCGTGTACGAAAAGAACTCGGTTCGTACATCCAATTCACAGTCGTCATCACTATGACGTTTCATCCAGTCACATATTTCCACCGGTAGGAACCACGGGACTGATGGTGTACGACGGCAACTTTGTGCATTTCCGCGAAGTGCCTCGGGCGCTGGCCCTTCGAACCGTCAGTCGGGTACGTACCATCGACCGTTGCTGGTTGTTCGAGATCGTTTTTGTCTTTTATAAATAGGGCAATCAACACACGTTTGCTGAGCTGAATTTGATGCTGGATGATTTGGGCATTACCAAGGATTTCCATCGGGCATGGAATCGGCGGTATCGCAAGGGCGCCGACACCCTCGTGCGGATGGAACCGACCGCCCCCATCCACTTGCATGTGGCGGGGCTCGTGATTGCAGGATGGCATCGCCGGCGCAAACGGTTCCAGTCTCGGCAAGAGTCGGTGCAGGCACTGGACGCAGTAGATCAAGTCAGGGAGGTTCTGCACGACATGTGCAACACCATTGCCACCGCTCCTACGACGACTACCTCGTACAAGGCGACGTAAACAAACAAACACAGGTAGATGGATGCTGGAGGCCGACGTAATCGATGCGTTAACACAGTTATTTGTCGTGGATCTTGCGCTTGTAAAAGACAATGTTGCCTGTGTCTTCGACGAATTTGCAGTTGGAGAACGACCGCCACAACGCAAACGGGATGGGGGTGGAGTCCTTCAGGTAGTAGTCGCCAAGGAGGGGCACGATCGCCTTGGTGGCTTCGGCGGCGTTGTAGAACGGCATCTTCGAAAAGATGTGGTGCGTCACGTGGGTGTCGGCGATGTGGTGGATAGCACTGTCGATCCACGACCCAAACGAGCGGTCCACGGTGCACAACGCTCCGCGCAACCAGTTCCATTCGTCGCCGCGGAAGTGCGGCACGTACGTGTCCGTGTGCTGGAGATACGTAATGAGCACCAAGTACGCGTTGCACACCATGTACGGCGCGAAGTAAAAGTTCCACACGTTGCCGATGCCGTACGTGTAGATGGCCGTCACGAGCAAGTACAGTGCGACCAAAAAGCAGAAGTCGCTCCACCAGATGCTCAATCGTTCCTTGGGCAAGATGAATGCCGCGTACGGGTTGAAGTGCGACTTAGCTTGACCTTCGTACTTGCTGGGGCCGGTCGCGTTGAAGAAGAGGTAGCCTGGCATCCAACCCACACCCAACATGAGGGTGATCTTGTACAAGTTGTACAGTGGCGAGTCTTCCAAGAGCGAATGGTCTGACGACGAAGCCACGGTCGAACGGGTGTTCGGGACAAACACTTCGTCGTTTTCGCAGCTGCCCGTGTTCGAGTGATGGCGGCGATGGGTGATTTTCCACGCATGGTACGGCACGAACAGGAGCGAGTGCAACACAATGCCCACGGTGTCGTTGACGTATTCCGAGTCCGAGAACGCTTGATGACCGCATTCATGCGCGACAACCCAAATGCCCGTGAAATACGTGCCCTGGACGAAGTAGTACACAAGCCACGCGAGCGCTTTGACCGGGTACGGCAATTCGGTCTTGTTGACATACAACGCCACGCCGAAGATCGCCGCGCAGATGGCCAAATTCTTGAAGAGGTGGTAAAAACTCTTCACGTAGCTGCGTTCAAAGCAATGCGCAGGAATCGCGGCACGAAGGTCCTTGAGAGTGATCGTCGGAGGTTCCAGCGGAAGCGGCTCCGGCGCGCCATCGATCTTGCGGTAGCCCGCCGCCTTGAGCGTGTCCAGCTTGGAAGGACGGCCTTGGCACATGGTCGACAGTTTCCAAATGGGGAACGTCCCCGCGCAATTCAGCGGATCCGATTGTACTGGATTGTACGAGTACATCTTAAATATACAAATAGAAGTTTAATCGTACGTACATAATACATTTACATGTACAATGTACTCCCACTCACGAACGTCATAATCAAACCGAATGACATCACGCGTTGAGAGGACCAATCCGATGCCGTCAACCCAAAACTACGTAATCTGATTGGTAGTTGATTATACCTTGCCTGCCTTGTCATCACTATCAAGTGACGCTATCCCGGTCCCCACGGCCTCTGACTCTGTCGCTGCCACGGATACCCCTGAGACGACGACGACTGTTGTGCCAGTCATCATGACTGCTGTGCCTGTGCCCTCACAGGTCTACGCTTGGGATCACCACCGAGGAAAGTGCTATAGACAAGCAGACCTGCAATGACCGGCCAATCAAACCAAGCGCTGATTTGATTGGCAGACGTTTCAGAAGCCGTTACAGACTATGTCAATTGGTATTTACGTTACACTCGGTGTAACGTTACTGGTACCGGTATACCAGTGGTTATTTTTCGCTCAGTACTAACAGTAAGCTAACTTTGTGTAGTAGTTCGTAGTCCTATGACTGGCGCCGTACAAATAGCACTTGTACGAAAGCTCGTATCAATGCCTACACTCCAGACTTACTACGTACTACTCGGAGTAATACTGTAGCGTTCAGGGCTTCCACCAAAAGTCCCCTAACAATGCAGCGAAATTGCCACTATGCGGTCAACGTTATATTCAGGGCACCATGAGAATGAGCACTTTGATAGTCTGGTCATTGTCTGGCAACCATTTTCACCTGTCCAAGTGCCGACGATAACGCTACAGTAGTAGACCAAGCGTTTCACAGTGTCAGTACGAATCGTATAGATAGTCAAAAATTTCTCCAAAACGTCAAATATCAATTCAGATTATTTGTAAAACTTAGCTGTCGTTTTGGTCCCAAATATAGATCGGCGCCAAGCTGAAAAGTCGCGCCCGTGCTGCTACGCCATGGGTTCCGTGCTGGGCAAGCTACGGCGACCACGACGGCTGCAGTCCGTCCCCCATACCCGTGTGGAGGCTGCAACCGTCACACCCGTGTCTATCCTCGGGCCTTCGAGCCACGAGCACGAGGGATCGATGATGGCCACGGGGGTTGACGTTGTAAAACCACTGCCACCTCGACAAGCCAAGACAGCAAAGCAAATTCTCAAGTCGGTCATCTCTGCGAGCACGCAAAACCTGCTCGCAGACGGCACGACAGCGGAAGACTTGCTCACGGTATACACGCAAATCCTCAACCCCCGTCTTGGGTCACCCACCGTATTCTTTACGTCTTAGGGCAACAAGACAAGTCAAGCGTTCTTGAACTACATTCGACACACAGAAGGGGGCATGAGTCGACAGAGCAGTGTGATTGAAAACGCGCTCGTGTTTTGGATGACTGTTCGAGGTGTGTTATGGTTGCCATTTTGGGAGCATATGGCAAGGAGGTTGTTAATGTGTTTGCAGATCTGGATTTTGTACCCGACGGCATGTTCCGATCGTTTGTGATTGCTGGCGCCTACGAAAGCTACATCCAACCCCATGCCAAGCGCGAGGTCCGTCCCCCTTGAGCCCTAGGCTCGTTGTCCCAGGATGGCTAAAAAACATGTAGGTTCCTGTCGTGAGCAATGTCGAACGCGCCCAGCTCAAGCTATACGTGGACGAAGTGGAAATGGACGAAGCCACGGCGCTGTTGCAGCAGATTTCATTAGACGTATGACAGTCCAAAGCATGTTCTCTTCTTTTCAGGTGAAATGCATCGATATGATGTACGGACTCGAATTAGGCGCTGGAACTGGTGCGCGAATCGTTTGCGGCGTTCTTAAAGGACCGCGGGCCGTACGGGTTTCGCGAGACACGGCTAAACAAAGGCACGTTGCCCAACTTTCCGTACGAAACACAGGGCGAACAGCGCGAGATTCTCGAAGATTTGCTCGAACACCCGAGCAGTTGTCGAGCATTTCGAGAGTACTTTCAGCGCATTGGCGGATGCCCCGAGTACATGTTTCTCGTCGATGTGTTGGATTACAAAGACACGGTCCAGGCGCTGCATCACGGTATTGTACTGAGTCATTTTTCTTCTCGATTATCACGGGATGTTGTGTCGAGTAGAAACCATGACGGCGGAAAAACACCAGCTGCATGTCGGGTACACGATGCGAAAGCTGCGCAAAATCTACAACAAATACCTCAAACACGGCTCCAAAGCCATGGTACGCCCCCCTACCATATAATTGGCGGTGGCTGCTAACGGTAGACTGTGTGGCTGATTGTTTGTTTAGATTCACATCCAAGAACGGCTGCGGGAAAGCATCCTTCTCGATATTGCCAAGAACCCGATCCCGTCCGTGGAAGTGTTTGACATCGCCATGAACAGCTGCTCCTACGTCGTCATCCTCGACCACCTCAACCTATTTTTACAGTCGCCCGAATACGAAGCCTCGAAATCTCGACGGGTAGAGCCCGAAATTCACGGTAACACTCTTATATATATATCATAAAGCGTCCGTCTATCAACGTATGGTTGGTTGATTTGGGTACAGGCGAGAAAGATTACTTTGTGCCAACGAACGGCCTGCCCACTTTGCCCGTGCCGTCGCTGCCAGTGATGGTGGCTGGCTCGGGCTCAAAGTACTTTCGCAGCTATCTGCGGGACCAAGGCGTCGAGTCGACCATGGACTTCTACCTTGAAATCGAGCAGTTCAAGCTCCTCCCACACAACAAGAAGGGGTACATCGCGGCCATTGCGGGCAAAGTACGTCGAACCATCCTCGTCCACGCACGCGAACGCTCATCGCATGTGTGTAGATCTTCAAAAAGTACATTTGCCGTGGCGCCAAGTTGGAGGTGTACCTGCCGTCACACATCCGCCGCAATATTCTCCAAGACATCGCCGACCCCCAAGACAGCACGTTCAACGAAGCATGCGAGTACGTACTGGGGCTATGGGAGCGCAAGTACCTCAAGCAGTTTCGAGCGACACCCTGGTTTAACGACATGCACCTGCACTTTTCCCGCGAGCAAAAATCGCTGGACGGGTCGGAACGACAGCGCGCGTGCGTGTCCTATCATTTCCGTGCCAAAGTGATATATATCGACATGTCTCATGTTTACTATGTGTTGTTACAGGCTGCTACCCCTGGAGCGAGACGAGCCCATCTCGCAGAACGCATTCCGCGACTTGCTTGCGCATGAAAACTCGGTGCAGATGACCCAATTCCACAAGTTTCTCGTCAAGGAGAGCTGCGCGTCGTACCTTCTCTTTTACAGCGAGATCGAAGAGTTCAAGCGGTTGCCCAAGTCGGACTACTTGACCAGGCAAGCCAAGAAGATCTTCTACCGATTCCTGCACGCGTCTGCCAAGGAAAGCGTGTGCCTGTCCACTGCAACCATCACAGAGTTCAATGTACACATGGAGAACCCGTCGCCGGCTATGTTCCGCACCGCGCAGGAGGAAGTGCTGCAGTTCCTGTGGAAGGTGCTGTACCCCAAGTTTATGAAGTCGCCGTTCTTCTGCGACTTGGCCACGATCAAAGAGATTGACAAGGCCAGCATCAAGGCCGACGGCCGGGCATCGAAAGGCGCGTCCATGCTGCGAAAGGGCACGGTGGTCCCGTCGATGATGTCCAAGCGCGGGTCGGCCGAGAACCTCCTCGCGCCGCAGGAAGTCACGATCACCGCCATCTTGGCCAACCAGGACACCCGGGCCATGCTGCTGGCATTCTGTGAGGAAATGTAAGGCGCCCTTTGGTTGTGTGATGTTGTTGAGGTTTGGTCTAGCTACTGTGCCGAGAGCTTGTACTTTTGGCTCGAATGCAACGAATACAAGAGCATCCCCCACGTCGATTACCTCCGTGTGCGGGCCCAAAAGATTTATCGCAAGTACATCACCGACTCGGCCAAGCTCCAGGTGAATCTCGTGCATGCGATCGTTCGAGATATTGAAAAGAGCCTCGCGGCGCCGTCGCGGACACTGTTCATCAAGGTATTCCATCATCATGCACGGGTCAGTCGTTTTCATACATCAACGTATTGCATGCAGGCCCAAGAAGCGATCGTGTTTATGATGGGCAAAGACACCCTTCCCAAGTTCAAAGCGTCCAAATTTGTACGTGAAACGAGACATTTCACATGTGTGACATTTTTTGGTGGTATAGTACGACCCGTGCGTGCGGATACTTGCCGACGCCGTAAAATGAAGGAAATTTTGTGGTTTTGTGGGAGCAAAAACGTACGTTAGGTTGATAGGAAGGTAGATAATGAGCATGAACATGTCGCGCCGGTGCGGGCGATGGTCACTGTGACAGCGTCAGGCGGGTTCGTGGTGGAAGTCGAAGGATGGCATGCTGTCAGCTACAGAGAGAACACCACATGTGAGTGAAGGCACCAGAGATGGGGACGACGGACCAGCACGTGATGCGACGTGTACCACTGAGTCATGGTCGACGGGAACGCGATCACGACGATGGCTCGGTAGACGGTCGCAATGCGCTTGAGCGCGAGACATACAGATCTTATATGGGCTACCTCTTGGACGAGATGAGCACAGTGGGGACGAGATATCACATGTACCATAGACGTCCGGCACGGGAGGACAGAGCGAGGTCGTATCGACGAAAAGGCACCGCGTCGTTGCCGACCATGTTTCGATCTGAAATTGTGTAAGACGCACACTCAATCAAGGAGCATGCTGCATTGATGAGTCCTACAGAAGCAAGGGTCGACGCGACGTGGGCAATGTCAGACACGAATGCAAGGTGAATGCGATTGAGAATGTGGGGACTGCGGCCATCCTGCATCGACGCCAAGTGCGTGGCAGTCGGAGCGAGGATTGGTGACAGGATGAGAACGCTTTCACCCATGGTAGCCAGATTCATCGCCAGTCTATGAAAGAGTCGCAAGGATGCATGGTGGTCTCCTGAGACCCCATATGCCGTCCCAAACTCCAGCTCCATCGTTGGGCCAATTCCGAGAATGCTGCTATAAATGTCATTGATTGGTTATAAATCCATATCGTTGCGTGATGATTGGCTTATGTTTTGGATTTGCTGAAAAAAATAGATGAAACATCTTAGCCAATCAGATTGTAGTAATTTTAGAATGACCAATGGGAATCTGTTCAGGTGGCATTTATCTGTTTACGACTCCATGTTCGTGATGGTTTCGACAATGGACGACCGACGTCGGCGGCGCTCGTGGTGGTAGCTGGCACTCTTCAAGAAGTTTTGGATGACATGACTCGCCACCTACGACATACGTCATCCCCAGTATCAATGCTATCATCACGCGCACGTACCACATGTTTGACTGGGGTCTTATGTCGTACAGAGAGCGCAACGACCTCGGCCTTTCTGTGCGTCCGTTTCCAAATCAGGTCGAATTCTTGGTCGATGCCTAGCCGCACGACTAAATCCGAGATCTCGCTGAAGCGTCGCTTGTCTCCCTAGTGCGTTTCCCATTTCCCATCCCCCATCAGCCAAAAAACTCGATCGCTTTTACCAAACAAAACGGACCTGACTCAGCGTCCGCTGCACTAGCGCGCGCGGAACGTCCTTGAAATGGACCCAAATTTTGTCGTACACGGGTATCTTGAGGTCGCCGATCGCCTTTAGAATGCGGCGGGGGGTAAACCCGGGTACGTACTTGAACCCGAACGGCGGCGGCAGTTGGCCCAGCAGCACGACCAGCTCCCGCATGCGAATAAAGCCGCTCGCGAAGCGGTCGAACTCGGCCCACTTGACTGCAAAAGCTTCCAGCGCGTCGGGTGTGATGGGGGACTTGCCGTCGTCGCCAATGGCGTCCACGATGATGGCTGCAAATTGCATCAGTTATCACATGAATTATAAGCGACGAGGAAGAACTCGCACCTGAAAACAGGTTGAGCCCAATGTACCCCACGACCAACGTGAACGAGTAAAAGTATGGCACTATCAGCCATGACGCTGCAAAACACAACGAGTAAGCACCGTGAAACTATACCTCCGAGTAACGTTACCGCAGCTATTGTTGGGGCAGCCGGCCGCATACGCCTCCCACATGAACGTGTCCCAGTTTTCGCCCGTAGAGAACCCAATGAGCATCTGGAACGCCGTCCAAAACGTCTGAAAGTTCTGGTGCGTGTTGAGCATCACGGGACCGTAGTTTAGCTTGGCAAACAGCTGGACCCCCAGCGCCGCAAATATGTAGTACAACAGCATGAGAAGCCCCATGACGTTGCCAACAGAGGGTAGCGACACGACGACCGTGTTGAAGAGCGACTTCATGAGCTTGGCCTTGTTGATCAAGCGAAGCGCCCGACCGACGCGAAACACACGGAAGGCCGTTGCACCTGCCGAAAACGAGCTGTTTTGAGGAAGCAGCTCGGACACAGTCGTGAGCACGACGATGGCAAAATCGAACCGATTCGACCCTTCGCGAAAGTACGGCCGGCCGTACGCGGCGAGCTTGAGCGTGGCTTCGGCCACAAACACGACGAGGCAGACGCGGCTCAGCAGTGCCAACGCGGTCGTCATCCACATCGGCTGGCTCGAGTACGTGACGGTCATCGCGGCCATGTTGAGCAAAATGCACGTAATGATCCCGTATTCAAACCGTTTGTGCCGCACGAGGCGAAAGCACCGGCGCCGCCACGGAGCGTTGGGCGGGTCGTAGTGCACTGTCATGGACAGGGACAGAACTTTTCGCTGGTCCTTGATCCAGCTGATCTGCTCGTCCGTGACCAGCACGCCGTACTTTTCCCGCATGAACGCGTCGCATAAAACAGCAATGAACATGTTGGTGACGAAGAACGCCCCCACAATCATAAACAAGATCCAGTACACCATGAACCACGGCTGGTGATTCGCAAGCGGCTGGCTGGCCGGCCCCGTGGCATCGATGCACGCGTTCGCGACGTCCGCCCACCCCTCAAACGTTGTGAGTTCGTAGAAAGCAGTCATGGACTCGACGATGTTGTCGAAGCGCTGGGGCACGAGCGGCAGCCACGACGTTTGAGGGCTAAAGCAAAGACAAATTTGCTTCGACGTGGGTACAAATTCCTGGGCTGCCAGCGACTCCTGCGTCATGTTGCAAGTGGCAGTGAGCAGTTGCTGCATGGTCGCATCCATAACGGTCCAACTGGTAGGAAACGTCATGATGTCTACCGATTCGAGCTCGGCCATCGAGTAGTTGCCCGCATAGTTAGCGGGAAACCAAGGCGGCGGCGGCGAATACGTCGGGTGGTTGAGGTACTGGTACGGACTGATGGAGCACGTGTTGAGCGCGCCTTTGAAAAAGAGAACGCCCGGCACGGCAAACAGCAGCAGCATGAAGAAGAAGAACACAAGGGACCTTCCGATGTCTGGAAGGCACTGGAAGAGCGTGTTCACGACGACTTTGAGCTGGGGCAGTTTGTTGATAACGCGCAACGGTCGAAGCGCACGCAGACTCCGCAGCGACCGGAGCCCACTCAGCGCCCCCCCCGCGTCATCCCCGATGCTCCACGCCAGCAGCGACACCCCCACGATGAAGAAGTCGAGGACGCGCCACGGATCCCGCAGGTACGTCCGGCGCCCGACCACGAACCCCAGTGCAACTATCGTGACCACCATTTCGAACGCAAAGATGACGGCAAACACGTTGTTGGCAACGTCGACGACCAGACCCAAGCCCCGCGTCGTGTCTTGGAGGGGCGAGTCGATCGCTGTGAGGACGCACGAGAGCCCGATGCACCCAAACATGACCTTGTTCCACATGGGGTGGTGGATGCCCCACACACACGCTCGTCGGACGGGGTTGGCACGCGAAAACAAGCACAAGCTGCGACTGGTGTAGAGCTTGCGCACCGTGGCGTGGACGCCCGTGCCGGTGGCAATGGGAGCCACGACGTTGCGTCGAACTAGAAGTAAGAGAGCATTGGTTTCCACAACGAGGAGGAAGTGACGAAGGTCGTACATCGGACCATGGCCATGACCATGCGCATCACACGCTTGAGGTGACTCACAGACACCCTACATACATAGCAACATGACATTCGAATAAGACCCGAATGGTGCCGTTGTACCCCTGGATTCGGTCAAACGAGTCGTCGGCGTCGTCGTCGACGCCTTCCATGACCGAGTCGACCATGATGGCGCAGAACATGCTCATAATCACCCACACCCCAAAGATGACAATGCTGACAAAATAGATGGGGGCGATGGCCCCAGAGCTGAGCCAGCCGTCGTACATGACAGCGGGCCAGTTGTCGTACGTGATGATTTGAAACACCGCCATAAACGCTTGGTGGATGGTGTCGAAGTTGGTGCGGTGGAGCATCGACGTTGGGTTCGTGTTGTTGAACGGGAGTGGGCGGTTGGCGCTGTCGAATTGGAACTTGGTCGCAAACAGCTACGTCAACGTACACACAGTTGTTCCATGTACATGTACAAGACGAATCCAGGAACGCACCTCCATGCCCAAAAGCGCATAAATGTAAATGAACATGATGAGGAAGAACAGAAAGTTGAGAATCTCGCCCATCGCGTCCATAATCGCCACGAGCAACCGGTTCAAACTCTTCCACGACCGAACCAACTTGAGCGCGCGAATGAGGCGGAACGTCGCGATGGGTGACGTGTTGCCTGGCGTGCCGTCCACGAACCGAGGCGGGTCGATAAAAAACTCGATGATCCCGGCCACAATCGTGAGCAAGTCGAACTGGTTGAACTTGTCGCTATACAGTGTACAGGTTTCATGAGCCGTCGACCAACAATCCGTACGTTTAGCAAGTCCAGCCACCACTGGAGGAGGATGTTTGATTACCCTAGGTACGATCGCACCCCGCCGGCGATGAGCTTGACCGTCATTTCGAGAATAAAATACACGAGGCACCCTGCGTTGACGACTTCGCTCCAGTCGTCAAAGGCGGGCTCGGACGGATAGTGGTCGGAGCACAGCAGCAGCACGTTCACCGTCGTGACGCAGGTCGCTACGGTCTGGAACCACTTGGACAGGGCGACTTTGAGCATGTTTTGGCGCACGGAGATGGCGATGCGACCGAGGGCAGACTTGGAATCGCCGCGGCGGAGCTTCTTGGCCTCTGTGAATTGCTGGGTCTTGAAAAAGTTGTCGATCGATTCTTTTCGAACCATCATCGTGGCTTGGTGGCGAAACGCGGGGGGGATGGCGCTAGGAGGCATGATATACACTTGTGAACGTGGGGATTTCTAAACTTGGGACAAGGTTACCTCAGACGAACCAGCTCCTGCATTTCCTTGGCCTTTTGGTACTCAAAGTACACGACGGCCATGTTGAGTTGCAGGAGAAAGCACATGCCGATGAACAGCGCCAGGTTGAAGTAGATGCCCCCGAGCACCGACGACAGACTGTCTTGGGTCTACACCACCATTGTCATTATAAATTCCTCGTGGAGTCGATAAAGTTGTACGTTTTGAGTGAGCACCATCCATCCCGACGCCGTGACCACTTGAAAGATGATGATCATGGCGCTGCCAACATCGTCAAAGCTCGTTAAACCAAAGTTGAGATTTGGAGTAAAATCGGGCTCGGTCATGATGGAAAACGCGGTCGTAGCATTGATCATGATGTCGAGGAACCGCGGCTGGCCGTTCACGTCGTAGTTGGACCCGCAAAACGTCCCCGGGCTGCAGTCTCGACTGCCGCAGTACAGCCCGACCGTGTCTGCCGGGTCGAGCGGCCAAAAGCAATTCTGTGGCGTCCACTCGGGCGAGTCGTTGGTCAAGTTCACGCACCGATACAACGCCGGGTTGGTCACCACCATGTTGATCCACGATTGATTGGGATACGAGTAATTCTGCGGTGGCGAAACAGCGTTGAAGTTGAGCTGCACGGGGAATTCGGTGAGGCGGCACCTGCCGTGGTACGTGCCTGACCACACGTCCATGCCCAAAATCGCAAACACGAGGTAGCTGAACCCGAGCAAGATGGTCACGTTGAACAGGGCTGGCAGACTGGACAGGACACTGTTCACGAGCACTTTGAGCCCTACATAGATCGTTGGATGGGACAGTGGGGGGCGACTGCTTTACATACCTGGAACCGAATGTAACGTGCGAAGGGGCCTCAGAATCCGAAGCATGCGCAATTGGGCGATGCCAACGACGGAGTCTCGGTCCAGGGACTCGAGCACTTTGGAGGCCAGCCCTGTGATCACGACGAGGGCGTCGAGCTTGTTCCAGTTATCCAACGTGTATGAAAACGGCCCTGTGATGCCCAGCGCGATGATTTTCACGAGAGCTTCCGCACTGAAAATGATGAGCGCGACGTCGTTGGCGTGTGCGATGATGATGTTGCCGCGTTTTGTGGGGTTGGGGCCATTCGCCCACGGATCGGAGTAATCAACGAGGCTTAAGATCAGCGTGTTGGCCAACACCATAAACACGATGAGCCGATCAAACCAAGGTGACTTGATTAGATCGATGCAAAACCTCCTCACGGGGTTGCGCAGTGTGATGCAGCCCAGCGACTTGGATTGCAGCTACAATAAGATCGTATTCTGTCGTCATCAAAGGGATATTGCTACGTACGTCGTTGTATTTGACGTGCCTTCGCGTCCCACCGAGCCTGGACTCCAACTTGGAGTTCATGGCTTTGGACTTGGCGACCTTAGCCATCATCTCCTTCATGCTGTTGGATCGAGACAGAGTCGCCAGTTTGGGCGATGAAGCGTTCTTCGTGGCGGCAATTGTGGGCGACGATATCGTCGGCATGCTGGGTCGAACTTGGACCTTTGTTATTGACGGACCGCTCGCGTCGTCATGGCCCGTAGGTGCCATACCGGCCTTGCTTGGAGGTGTGAAACCAATGCCACCGTAACCGATAAAGTCGAAACGTTGCGAAAGTGCACGCTTTGACTGGCCAAAATAATTCCGCTCGTTTTGATTGGTTCAGTTCAATCTTAACTCGAAAGAATTTTGAATCATTAGTTTTGATTGGTCAAAATGATTCCGTGATTTTGATTGGCTCAATCACAAAAGAAATTCGCCCAGCATGGCGACGATGAGATTGCCAGCGGCAGCCATGCCGGTCGACCGGGACAAGCTCAAGTATGTGCAACTGCATTATGAGGGAAACGAAGTCATATGCACTGAAGATGAGATCACCCCCGACGAACGTGAGCTACTTCAGTACACGGCAACTCCCCCGCCTCGCTCCAAGGTGCTCCTCCATAGTTGCTGCGCGCCGTGTAGTGGTGCCATGATCGAAGAGATGAGATACCTCATGGACCTCGACGTGACAATCTTCTTTTACAATCCCAACATCCATCCGCGCAAGGAGTACGAGATTCGTAAGGACGAGAACATCAAGTATGCCCTCAAGCACGGCATTCCATTCGTCGACTGCGACTACGACTCGGACTCATGGTACAAGCGCATGACCGGATTCGAACTAGACCCCGAGCGAGGGATTCGATGTTCGGCATGCTTTGACATGCGCATGGAAGTCACGGCCGCGTACGCTGTGCAGCACAACTTTGCTTACTTCACGACCACGAACGCCACATCGCGATGGAAGGACGAGACGCAGGTCAACTTGGCAGGAGTGCGCGCCGCCAAACTGTACAGAGGTACGTCCTACTTACTATCGCGAACAGCAATGAATCATGCAAGTAGAAGCGGCACCAACGACTCCATTGCAGTTTTGGGTGTACAACTGGAAGACAGATGCCATGACGCGCCGCAAGTACCAGGTGTCCGTGGACGAAAAGTTCTACAAGCAAGAGTACTGTGGGTGTGCTTACTCGCTGCGGGACTCCAACATTTGGCGGGCGCAACAGGGCATCCCCAAGGTCAAGATTGGGGGGGACGTGGCGGGGCTCGGCACGCGGTACTTCGAAGATGTCGAGGCCGACGAAGCGGAGGAATCGCAGGAGGTGGTGGACGCATTCTTCACTGACGCGTCGCAGCACTTTGGAGACTCGAAGCGCGTTGCCAAGTACAAGGTGGCGTTTCAGTCCAAGCCACCAAATGTCGTGGACTTTCAAGGGAGACTCAAGTCCGCGAATGACGTGACCGTCAATAACTGGTAGATGCGGAATATGGAGTCCAGCTGTACCCTGGACACCGCCTTCACACTAGTACTACCAGCACTTGAATCCAATTTCATTGGCCTGTGCACTGTTTGCTGATCGATACGCACAATGTAAGTTAGTACACATAAAAGTCAAGGTGTGTTGAACTCGATCCACTTTAAGGTGGCCTAGCCAATCAATTCCTAGAAAGGCAGTTTTTAATCTATCCGCCCAATTAATATGCAAATGGAAATACAAAGACTAAGCTGAAAATGATGCGCTTTATATTGGACCAGTTGTTTTAATCTGTTTGTGGACATAGTGGTGTGAATGCTAACAGGAAGCATAACGTTATCGCATTCATAACCCCCCACTAGAAGTATTTTGGCTTCATATAGCATATTGTGCTTTTCACTCGTTTTGGCTATTCACACCATAAACCTAGGTGTTTGTTACAGCGACCCCAGTGTTTTAGATAATCCCGTGATTTAGGATCACGTTTCGTTACAGAATGTAGTTATAGGGAGGTCATTTATGCAACTCCCTCGCTTTTGCACATTTGAAAAGTGCAAATCGAAGTTATATCTGCTATTCTCGGGACCAAATTGCACAGTTCACTGGTCATCATGAACAACTTTTGATATTACAAATGACACACAGCGAGGACATGCGCCGGTGTTCTACCGTACAGTACAGCGATGTACGTATGGTGCCACATCGTAGAAAACCACGCCATCTTCTTGTTCCATCGCATAGTACATGCAGGTAGCGTGAACTACGCGATGGAATTAATAGCCAAGGTGTTTTGGTCACTTCAGGATCACATGTGATAATTATTGCTCAGAGTTATTTGGCATTTATAAAACCCCAGTGAATTAGCTAAAACACCAGGTATTTATTAACACAGTTACAACAGCAGTACCACTCTTTTAGCTACGTGAAACCCCGATGCCAAAACAAGTGCAAAGCACAATACTACCGGTAGTATTGTAGAATTATAACCCGATACTTACGAGTCGAGTTACATGCCTTCCACAGCAACGTCTCAGAAAAAGTGTTCTTAAATTGGACGTTTACCTGTCAACGAATAACTCAATTTAAACCAATGGGAGGACAGAGTCTTTTGAACGAGCCAATGCAATACATTGTTGGAGCGTTATTTTGACGAATCAACGCAAAGTGACAGGACAACACATACGACACATAGTATTAATTAGCTTTGTTCAAGGTACAGCAGCCTCCAAGCCAAGAGCGTCACGGACACTGGCAACATAATCCTGTTCGTCGACACCGCCTTCGACGATATCGACGCCGGACCGTGTAATGATTTCCTTGGTCTCGGCATCGAGAAATATGAGTGTGGGGATGAACTTGACACCAAATCTCTTGCCCAAGTCGGTTTTGGTTGAGCGGGGTTCGTACGGAAGGGCTGGAAACGTCATGTAGTCGCCCCAGTACTCGTCGAATTGTTCCTGGGTGCGGTCACACGACACAAACACGATCTCGATGTCGGTGTGGGCGTCGGCCAAGTCTTCGTACAGCCGCGACACGATCGGGGTAAACGACCGGCAAGGTGGACACCAGTACGCGGCAAAGTAGATTCCAATCACCTTATTGCCTGCGAGGGCCTCTTCAGTTGGTACCACGCCCTCGGTGGTTAATATCTCGGGGCCAAGCAGCTCCTCCAACGTTGGGATGCCTTTTGCGCTGGCGATGTCGGCTGTGGGGTCGTCGTCGGCCATGCTGCAATACTGACCAGAAGCTGGAAACGCAGTAAATTGAAAAATGAACATAACGACTCGAGCTCATCCAACATGTGACCGACGAGGGATCTTATCGCCGATTGGGTATGTATGTTGTATGTTGCACCCACTCAACACTGATTATTTTGAATTTTTACACTACTACAGTACTGGTACTACGTAGTACTTCGAAGTACTGTATGTGGTTTCGCTGACGTTTTTCGTGGCAACAACACGTCAAAGTGGGGATCAGGTCACAATTGGGGTGTGATCTGCTATGGAGCATGAAAGGCACGTGCTGGCGCCAGTGCATCGGTCCCCCAAGATCCAACGTCAGCACGAGCTCGTCACGTGGAGGCAATTCGACTTTCTGACGAAGCTTTACCAGCATGGACTGTTGTGCTCAGTTTGGGAGTTTAATCCTCATTTCTCGTTGACTGTGAAAGATCATAATGTTACCCATTCAAAATCGTGTAAGGTTATCTACTGTTACTTGGTGGTTCACGAAACAAATACGAAACGTAACAGTATCTAGTATATACTACTAGTACTACTAACCAAAGTGGTGGTGTGTTTGCACAAGTATGTATGTAAAGTTGAGGTGCACGTCATGAAAATGCAACATGAGTAGAACCTCGCATGCACTACAGCAAGACCAACTCAAAGACTGTATGTTGACAAGGTACTTGTTGGGGGCTGGACCTAATCGAAGCCTCAAATAAGCGGGGTGAATCGAGCCGAGCCACGAGTCAAATCGACGAAGTTGTCGTGTTGCCAACATGAAGTCAACCATCATCCAAGACAGTGGCTTGGACGATGCAAGTGGCAACATACTACCGGTAGTACACAAGCGAGAATTTGGTCGATTACATTGTGAATAACTGGACAAGATTTGATGTTAATTTTTACTTGGAAATATGTTGGTGCTAGCATGTATGTAATGTACACTACTTCGATGTATATGATTATGAGTGAGGGGGAGGCTGTTTTTCACTAGTCGTGTTTTGGGGTTTTGCTCGTGGATTTTCAGGTAGATTTAGACGTGGGGCTTCACTCGTGGTTAAATCGTGTGGTGGAGTTTTATTTAGTGGGCATTACTGGGTTGTTGCTTCATAGTCGAGCAGCCCAGTAAGTGTAATATCACTCCATCATAGCTAACGTAAAACAAGCAAACAAGCCGTGGGCCCTATATCTTCACGAAGGTATTGTAACCGTGTTAGAGTGTACTTTGTGAGCTGTAGTGCTGGTCATACCATACAGTTCGAATGCCTACGCGTCGATACGTATAAGGATGCCCAAGCAATTCTCGTTAATACTAAGTTCCACAGTTTAACCACAAGCAAAACAACAACACATGACATTTTCTGTGACCACCAGTAAAAAGTCAAATGGCCACACGTTTTTATCCTATTCCCCTGAGTGAGGCACGGCGAGTTCGACGAGTACGGTATGGCGAATGGAGGTGAGAGGAATGCGAGTTGCACTAAGCTTATGGTGGAGAGATGGAGGAGAGTCAGCCTTCCACAACGCCCCCAAGCTAACACCATCGTGGCTCCTGGTCCTACTAACGTTAACGCCATACTGTACCATTAACGCGTGTTGGGTAGCTGTTGGTATAAGGAACCATTTTTGCCTTAACGTTAGTCGTAGATGGGTACACCTTTCCCATGCATAAGCCACCAACCAGTACAGTAGTTCAGGCAATGTTGTATTCGTACGCTTGACGTTAGCCAGTCCTTGGACACTAAGAATGACGCACACCTCCAACTTGAGACGATATCGCCATGCATTTGTGACGCCCAAAGAACTTGAATTTGTGCGTTTCAAAATCCTTCAACTCACGCTGAGTATACTTTAATCCAGTGTTTCGTGAATGTTTCGTAAATCAGTGGTATTTTTCTATACTTGAAGCACCATACAAAATCCAGCATAAAGGAAAATCGATACTTCCGTTTTACGAAACAAAATGTTTCGTGACTGCATTGAAATTGTTTCGTATTTGTTTCGTAAACCGTGTATATCTAACGTTATCTTACTCTTGGAATTCCAAAATGGCTAATCTCAAATATTTGAAATTCAGTTTGGAAATACTACGTAGTACTGTACAATACAGCACATCACAATTAAAAAAAACACCTCGCCGCAAGCCCCACCATCCCCCCGCACTCGGACGTCTAACGTTCGACGTATGCGAAGTCCGCTAGCT